CTGGTTAGGGATTTTAAAAATATAATTTTATAGAGGTAGATCAAATAAATAAATAAATAAAAATAGCTCATTTCAAGCTATTACATAAATAGAAAAATCTATATTTACTATAGAAATTTCCATGACTTTTATGGATTTTCTTCATTTCCATGGCTTCCCTAGGAAATTCCCTGATATTTCCACGTTTTCAAATGATGTCGCATGATGGTGAGACTGTTTGGTTGCTTCCAAAGTAACGCAATAACAGTATAATTACTATATTAGTATTCTGTCCGTTTGGTGCTTAAACAATTTTGCTAGATTGGTGAATCTAAAGTTAACATTTTAAATTTGAAAAAATAAACCTGTTTGATTTGAGGGGTGCTTCATAAGCAGCTTGCTGAATAGCATATTCCTGGTATCCCCTTTTCATTGCTGCCTCTTGGGAACCAGCAGCTTCATCGGTCTGGGTGGACGGTTCAACTGGAGCTGCTTCAATGGGAACTATCTTAGAGGCGCCTGCAATAAACCCAAACTTACAGTTAGTTTAAATCTTTCCCTCAACTATTAGACCACTTGACATCACATGCATATCTCACCAGGCATGGCCTCGTGACTAGTAAGGACCACACTAATAATAGGGTTTTTGTTGCCGCTTTGCGCTTCAGAGTCCTTTGCACTGGACACCTTATCTGTCCGCATCGCTCGAGCTTTCTTTGGTGTCCTCTCTTTGTCTTCCTCTCCATCACTGATTCTGTTTGCATCGGTATTATGACCTAGTCAATAAAGTTGACAGGTGAAACTTGTGGCATTTCAGAGTATTCCAATACAAAGAGTTCTAAGATTTTTAACATAAATGTGTACCGTTATACTCTTCTTCATCAGCAGCCTCTTTCAGTCCTACAAAACAAATGTGTTTGGAAATTTGCCGCCTGTTGCTGAACATGCGATTGCATTTCTTGCACTCCAGATCACTTCCATCCTCACTCTGCTCTTCAGTTACTGCCACTGGTGGAACGTCAGTGGGCTCTTTCTCCTGCTGACTGGATGCTTTTTCCAGGACATTTTCTGGTTGGGCTTTCTTAGTGGAGCCTTTTGGTCTACCACGCTTTCTTTTCACAACAACATCTGCGAGATAAAAAAAGACATTCTTATTTTCCAATGCTTTAATAATAACTTTCTTTTCACATTACATAAGACACTACAGTCGTAAACAAATTTCCCCGGTTTCACAGACAAGGCTTAAGCTAGTCCCAGACTAAAGTGCATGTTTGAGCTGTTTTAACTGAAAGCAACTTGCCATTGTTTTGTCTCAAGATGCACACCAGTAATGTTTTTTTCTAAGGCACGCTTATAAAAGCTACTTAAATGTCCTAATTGAACTAAGTTCTAATCCTGGCTTAATCTAAGCCCTGTTTGTGAAACCAGGCCATTATGAAATAAACTTTAAGCTTAAATCAGTCTAAATTGCAATTTCAAGCTTGAACCAATTTATAGTTCCAACGGCCTTTCTCTAATGGCCTAATTTTCAGTGTTTGGTTCTAATAATGCCCAGCACAGGTTCCCGGCACCTGTGATTTGTTTGTTCAAAGCTGCTTACCTGAACTCTGTGGCTCCTGAGTTGTTAATGGCTTGAGTGCTATAATGAAAGAATCAGGATCACCTCCTTCATTGGAGTGAGTCTCAATAACATGAGACAGAAGCAATGGTTTACTGGGAGAGAACAAGTTGCATATTTTGCACATGAAGACAGATGAACCATCTGTGAATACAAACACAGCTGGTTGAATTCTTCAGTCTGTATATTAAAGAATCTTGGATGCATGCAATTATCATTTTAGATATATTTTTTGTAGCTTTTTTGTTGTTGTTGTTAAAACAGTATCAGAAATATGTCTCTTGCACAAAGAAAATTTTGTTAGCTTTTAATTTCCACAGCACTAAGATTTATCATGTATCCTTGCAAAAGTACTACGCAGTTTATGGAAATTACAGAAGGCTCAAATAATTAATATGCAATATCTAATAATATTTTTTCCCAATTATTTGTTGTGTTTCCACCCTAATTCTCAAAAATTAATAATTTTGCTTTGAAATGATGGAGTTTTAAACAACCTTTCCTCACAGAATTGACTGGGGTAATAATGCACTAACATCAGGGAGACCTTTCAAAATAAGAGCGCTTAAATAAGTTGATTTTTATACTCTTTCAAATCAGGAATTTATTCATTAACACTTATATTTATAATTGTTGATTAGTATTTGCAATTTAGTATCAGTTCATTACAGTGTTGTTCAAATATCTGCAATAGTTATCTTTCACAAGATGCAATAAATGTCATGTAACAATACATTTGATGTACCCGTTACTAAACTGCATATCAAGACTTATTTTCAATAGCAAATAAGTGTCGTGTAGAGTTAAATTTTTCCAAAAGGGAACCAATAACATTCCCTGGCATCTCATTTTTGTAAACACGAGACCAGTTTCGTGTTTTTCTCTTAGACACTGGTACCAGTTTTCATTTAAAAAAAGATGATGTTTAAGTGCAGTGAGCTGGAAATGGTGTCATTTCAACAACGACCGGTAAAACACAGCAGACTTAAAACTTAATTTCCGTATAAAGCATCCTTTGGCAAAAGTTTTTGCTCGTTTAAGTCACTAGTTTTACCTAATTTATTTGTTTCCTTATCGAATCATCGGAAGGAGCCGTTTCCTCGGAACGCAGTTAGCATAATAATGATATTTTTGCTTACCTGCTTGTACTGGGTCCATTCTTTTTAAATCAGTAAAAGGTAAAAATCACGCGAAAATGATTTTGACCTTGGTTTTTATTACTAGAGTGCAATTTAAATGTATTCATTATACTTAAATTACTTCTGCAGAGGTTTCTGTCGAATCTGCGATAACAAATATGGCGGATGGATCTTCGTCTTCAAGCACAAAAAAAAAGTATCCATGAAGAAGCGCGCGCCACCTGCTGTCTGGAGTTCATTTGATCACTACTGTGTACTTGTAATCAGTAATTCAGACATTTTTAAATATAAGAGTTAAACCTTGATGATGATGAACAATGACAATGAGGTGCTAACACTGTAAAGACCACTGAATACGATTGTGTATAGCAGCCACAGATCAGTGATAGAAACTCGACACCTCAACCTGAGAATTAATTAAATCACTAATAATTAATATTATTAATTAACAGCATAATAATAAACATGAAATAGAGTTGAATGCGTTTATTTGGGTAAAACTATATTCATAATAAAGTACAACAGAGGGATCAAAGATACATATTTTTACTTTTATCACAGCCTCAGCCTCCTTTCAGCATTCATGTTGCACAATTAAGTAAAGTATATTCCAACACGATCACAGAGTTGCTCCAGTCAGTCACAGCAAACACCCTCCTCCCAGCCTCGTTTACAGAATACAGCTGAGTGTAGGATGTTTACAACGACTATACAGGAAAATTACGACACAAAACATCAATAGATCCAGATGGCACATCATAAAAAAAAATAATTAACATGGTGTGTTAATTTTTTCATTGTTGTTAAGTTATAATTCAGTTGTAACATTTAGGACGCAGTATTGTTTGATTACACACACACACACACACACACACACACCACTGATTCCAGAACAAGACGAAAGAACTGGACGATGGCAGCAAACATCCAACTGAAAGCTTGTTTTACGGATACGCACAGCTTCCAGTCGGGGATGTTTACAGGCACGAACAACCAGTTAAAAGCATATACAATAAAAAAATAACGTGATGCAAATAAATACAATTAATTCGGGAATGCAAATTACACCAATCTACGAAATCCATGGAAATGTATTCTGCAATAAAAAACTGTATGTGGTGATTTTGCTGCCCTCTACAGTCCTCATGAGAAATGAAAATACAGCAAAAGCCGAGTTGAAAGTTAAAGGTCCTCTCTCCTTCACGTCAATGACAAAGGGACCGCGATGAGGATGAAGACCTTGCAGATCTGAACAGTTTCACGGTCTAATCACAGACCGTGATGAAATTTGATGAAAACAAATCTCAAACATGTTCGAGTCGATATAGGTCATTTTTCCACCTTTAAAATAAGTTATTATCGACAAACAACAACAACAACAACAACTGGAAGTACAGTCTCTACATATCAGCATCACCATAAATAACAGCCATATACGAGCCGAGTACAAAATTAAAAACACTCGTATTTGTAGACTGACATTGGTTCAACCTTGTTTCTTTGTTTGGGAATAAGAAAATCGGTGATTTTTAAGCCAGTATCGGCTACAATATACCGTACAAAAAGAGTTACAATAATAAGAAGAACTTGCACCAAGTAAGCCTGTGTTGCTACCAAGTTGAGTGAAGAGGAAGCAAGCAGACAAGCCGTAGCTGCACTGCATTTTACCCTCGCAAAAGCGATCTAAAGAGCCAGCAAGGCGTTTTGCTTGTGTCTAATACAGCACAGATAGTTAGCAAAAGTCATTCTGCTTCGAAACGGAACAACACAGCATGGCTAACTAACGGTAGCTATGCTCTACAGCTTTGCTCCAATTTACAGACAAAACTAGCATTGACTGTCCTTCCCGCCGCAGCAGTACCTCTGTTCAATTTAGACAAAGCACCGCCGTTCAAGCGATAACGCGATTAAACCACAGTTTATTACTAAGAAATTTCCTACGGCTTTTGCTGCAAAAAAACCTTTAGTCTCCGCCATTCCGAGCCTGTTTCCTTCCGTCTCTGGCTTGTCTTTAGTTTGACCTTTAGTTACCCGACACTAATATTGACGTAATTGTCATGGTAACAGGATCCCGCCTTCTACGTGCCGCCGTGTGCGTCCATGGAAGTTGCTGATGATGGAGGGAAAAAACCATGGATGACAAGGAATCTCATGTCATTGTGATTAAAGATTAATGGTTTAATGCCACGAAAACATTGTGGAATAAGAAGACATTGAGATACAAACTTTTTATCACCCACATTTTGGACAAATAACTGCTCAAATAAAGATTAAAACTTTTATTGTAAGTTCACACTTTACAGTTGCTTTTATGCTCCTGTTTGTATTAAATTATACACACATACAACGTTAAAGGTCAAAGAAAGTCACATTCATACGCTTTGCTACCATACATTTTACATAATGGTCAATACATTCTCCATTCATCTCAGTATGACCCTGTACTTTCACATATGTAAAATAAGCTGACGTTATTGTTTTGATAGAGTGTGATGATCACAGGCTCACTCCTATATAGTCACTGCAAGCCATAGATATACATTATCTCAAGCCCATTCCTTTCTTCGCCTGTGTGTGTTCCGGAATTAACTATTAGCACTGGAACAGGAGATATTGCTAATTAACACCAATGCTATAAATAGAGTTTTGTAGGCAAAAGAAAAAGACCTGCGATCACAGCAGTGTGGATGTGTGATTCACTCACTTATATCAAGCATCTGTTTCAGCATATCTTTACTTGTTTTTCACTGAATGTAATTGTGTCTGTCTCATGCAGGCAGCTCCAAAGCACCTTCTTCCTCTCCATCCCCTCGGTTGGCACGAATCTCCATGAGCGTACGGGCAAATTTGCTCCAGTCGTCTGTATGTGACATGGCCAACTGCTAAAATAGAGATACAACCAACTTCTGCATCACATCTTCACAGTAGAACAGAATTAGTGACTTGAAATTTGCACATTGTTTGATCTGTCTGTGTATTTGGCTATGAGTGCAAATATTTATAATTCATCCAAATTTTAGAGAATGACTTGTTCTTGTACTCATGATGTAGGTGTTATTACCTCTCCCACATCATAGATCCAAACACGGCCCTCTGAATCACCCACTGCCACCTCTCTGCCCCCCGTTGCCCATCTGACCCGGTTCAGGGCACATCCTCCCTCCACAGTCACACTTGCCGACGGCACCTGGTACACACAGAAAACTTGTTTTGGAATGTAAACTTAATAATATTGTGTGGAAACACAATGTATCTAATTTAGTTCGAAGCAGACAATTATGAAGTAAAGGCAATTTGCATGCAAATATGATGAGGTAGAATGCCCCCATTCCAGCTGAACAGTTTCGAGGTTAATTTTTAATACAGTAGTCAACATTTGAAGTGGATCCAAAAAGTTAATCAAAGTTGTCCTAAGACAAGAATGGGTATTGTTCAAAATGTATGTATAACTTTGCAGAAAGGTTTGATCCACTTCAAATGTTGACTACTGTGGATAGTAGTGATCTGTGAATTTATTTTTTTGTTGATTTGCTTATTTTGCTGATTTGATTTGTAGATACAATAATTCATTAAAATTTGTTCAATAACAGATATTGTTTTTCTTTTATTTTGAAGTAAAAATCAACCCATACGTATATAATTTATAGAATTATATAGTGTAATTCAAATGTATCTTTCTGACTGGAATTCTGCTATTTGATTTGCCATTTTTCAACTAAATGATCAAATTGCATTTATAATTGCATGAAATCAAATTACATTAACAATACCATTCAAAAGTTTGAGTTCAGTATGATTTATTTTTTAAAAGAAAGGAATAATTATATTCAAAAGTTACATTAAGACTTTTACATCGTTACAAAAAATACTATTCCAAATAATAATTCTATTCTTTTGAACTTTATATTCATCAAAGAATCTTACAAAAATTATCAGGTTTCCACAAACAAACACATTAAGCAGTGCTAGTAAAAAATGTTTCCTAAGCAGTATATTCGATTTCTCAAGGCTCATGTGGCTGCTGAAAATTCAGCTTTGCCATCAGAGGAATAAACTATATTAAAGGGATAGTTCACCCAAAAATGAAAATTAGCCCATGATTTACTCGCCCTCAAGCCATCCTAGGTGTATATGACATTCTTCTTTCAGACGAATACGATCAGAGTTATATTAAAAAATGTCCTGAATCGGAGCTTTATGATGGCAGTGATTGGCCGTTTCTGTTTTGAAGTCCATAAAAGTGCATCCATCCATAATACGAACGAAGCGATTAGTTTAATATTCATATTTAACACGTTACAAAGTAAAAATCTAGCTTCCGGCCAAAAGGCCATACGCTCTACTTACGCCTTAAGCACAACTTACGCAACTTGTGAGGTAGTGTAGTGCGTCATGGCGTAGCGGAAATATCAGCAGTACGTCGCATTGCGCGCATAAGTTGCGCTTTAGACTTAAGTGGAATCTGTATGTTCGTTTGGGCGGAAGCTTTTTCTTAATAAAGTTTTAAATATGGATATTTTTCTCACGCAAACGCATTGCTTCACTTCACTTCAGAAGGCCTTTATTAAAGTGTAAATTGCAGGTTAAATTTTTCACGAAGATAATGCAATGTGCTTACTAAACATAAAGATAAGAACCGCCCACAATTGTTTTTTTATACCAAAATGCTGCATATAATATGAAAAGTTGGTACGTTTTACAGTGGTTTTAAGCACGCCCCCTCCCTTCCACTAGGCTGGGCGTGACTAGGCCTGTCTATGCCACTGGGCGTGCTAGGCTTGGCCTGTCTATGCCTGGTCTATGCTCCAAGCCTAGAGTTACCGTTAGTCTAAACGGCAAGTAGGCTAGCAGTTATATTGGAGACCTAGCTAGCAAAAATGGTTAACTATTGTGTTTGTGCGGGATGCACGAATACATCAAAAACGGGGGAGAGGCTCCACAAGGACAAACGACTGATTCGTGCCTGTAATTGTTAGCATACCCGAGGTAGATCTTGGGTATGCAAGCCCGACCCTACCCGAGCACGTTGTGTCCGAGCCCAGCCTAACTTCAAATACTTTAAAGTTAGCCTACGTGTCGCCACCATACACATCAGCATAAATGCTCCTGATAAATTATTTGTTATTAAAGCATTAACACACAAACCACACTGTTATAACATAAAAACAAGCAGGCTAACTTACAGTCATGCATGGTTTGGCATGACTGCGCGCAAAGTGCGCTCCCATAATAATTCCTAAAAAGCTGACATCAGTTCATTGCGATCTCACACATCTCTGTATTATCAATGAATCTTTCATAATATCTACACTTTGTTTGTTATAATTCGAGAATTTGCCAGCATACAGAATTCATCACTGAACAAAAAGTCCGTTTTGAGCGGTGAGGGAAGTCGTAAATGCTTCTGATTGGCCATTGCGTTCCTAGAAATCAACACATATGTCTATGATTGGCTACGTCGCTCAACGCTGCAAACATGTTATAAATAGAAACTCTGGCCTGTAAATCGTTTCTATTTTGTTTTAGTTGTTCTTGTTGCTTTTCTGCAACAGATGAATAAAAATGTATTAGTTTTTATGTTTTATTCATAGATATTTCTAGTTTGCGGGAGTCCCGTGAATCGTTTTATTCTCCCTCAACCCGCACACACAGAGTGAGTGCATTACCGCCCGCGTTCCCTCTTATGACGTCATCACCCAGTTACTGTAAAAAACATGCTACCTTTGAAGAAACCCCAATAAATGTTATTTTAACGCATTTTAAGACAGACATTTTTAAATATATATATACATTGAGCACTTTATACATTAATTGGTTGTGGTGGTTAACCTGCAATTTACACTTTAACCCCCCGGAGCCGTGTGGATTGCTTTTATTATGGATGGATGCACTTTTATAGACTTCGAAACAGAAACAGCCATTCACTGCCATTATAAAGCTTGGAAGAGCCAGGACATTTTTTAATATAACTCCGATTGTATTTGTCTGAAAGAAGAAAGCCATATACACCTAGGATGACTTGAGGGTGAGTCAATTATGGGCTAATTTTCATTTTTGGGTGAACTATCCTTTTAAATTAGTAAATAGTTATTTTAAATTGTAAATAATATAAAAAATGTTACTGTATTTTTTTTATCAAATACATGCAGCCAAAAATACTCTATTTAAAAAATCTTACCTCAAACTTATGAGCATACATAGAATATTTAATTTAGTATTTTACATTAATGATACAAAAAACCTGATGACATCTGGGATAAGTTCACCCCAGGTTTACCTTGGGGTTTTTGCCCCAAGAAGGAAGTCCTCTTACACTAATATTAATTAATGTATGTAATGAATTTTCTTAATATAACAGAAGACAGAATGACTGAGTAAATAATGTAATGACCTCTGTGTAGTTGTTGAGATTCCAAAGGTCCAGACGACCATTGCCATCAACTGTAGCAAAGAGCGCTGGATGAACTGGAGACCACATGACATCATACACATAGTCTGCATTGTCTTCAAAAGAATAGAGGGGCTTGTTATGCTGTCAGAGAGACGAAATAGTTATATTTATAAAATGCTAAATAATCAAAATACATATAGAGCAGCACAAGTTCCAAAACAACTCTTACTTTGGTTGACCACAGTTTGACAGTCCAGTCAAATGAGGAAGTGGTAAAGAGATGGGAGAAGTCAACTGGACCCACAGAGTTATGGCAGCTGATTCCAGTCACAGGTCCCTGATGCCCATCGAACATTTCACCAATACCAGCCTTACTGCATGGGACAAGTTAAACAAGTTCAAGGTAATCGTTGTTTTTCATAAAGTGTTTTTAATATTCACAGACATTGTTTAAAAAAACAGTTGACCCATATATGAAAAGTCTGCTATTAAATCAGAAGGTAAAGCAAGACAACACTTAGATTATTAGGCCATCCAAGCGTAAAAAGAGTTTTAAATCATACTGAGTGTGCAGGTGTATAATATGTTCTGTTGTCACAGGAACCACCAACCTTCCATGGCGGGATGCTGTGTAAACGGTGCCCTCCTCACTTCCTACCACATAGTTATTCACGTCGCTTGCAGGAAAGGCCATGCAAGTGACTGCCACAGGCTTTGACTTGTTGTAGATCAGCTCCATACTTTCCTGTGAGCAACAATAGACATGTAATTGTTCGAAATCAATCTAAAATGGCAATAATTTTCCATTTGTCTAAATGTGTAATATCTGGACACCTGAGGCTGTGAGAGCATGTCCAGACTCCAGGAGCACATCTTGCCATCTGTGGAAACTGTGATCAGGTTGTTGGCATTTTGTGTTCCGACCACATTCACACAGTATACAGGATGCTGCAATAAATTGGTAAGATAACATGGAAAGAGTCATAAAATCCATAATATATGAAACAGGTTTGACATCTATATTATTTTAAGGAGAGGAAATGATTAGAATATTTTTCTAAAACAAATAAGGGATTGTTTTGCCACATAATGAAAAAAACCCGTAATTCTTATCAGATGCGTTTTGCAATTTACAATAACAGAAGGTTTCTCAGGAATATCTTGGGGTTGAGTTTCTGGGTCACCTCATTGACCTGGCAAACTTGGTGTTTTCAGCTCACATTATTAACTATTAAACTACCATCAGACTGAATTAGGTTACATGTTTTTCAGCACAAAGAAGGCATTTCATATATATTAAGTATTATATTATACTATATGACATTATAATATAATATAATATTTAAATATACTATTTTGGGGTAACTAAGATTTTTTTTTAAAGAAATTGATACTTTTATTCAGGAAGGATGGATTAAATTAATCAAAAGTGACAGTAAAGACATTTCTAATCTAATGTTACAAAATATTAATATTTTAAATAAATGCTGTTCTTTTTCTATTCTGACAATGCATCACGGTTTCCACAAAAATATATACCAGCTGTTTTCAACATTGATAATACCAAGAAATGTTTCTTGAGTACTGAATCAGCATATTAGAATGATTTCTGAAGGATCATGTGACACTGAAGACTGGAGTAATGGATAATAAATAAAATTTAAATAAATAAAATACTAAAATATATTAAAATAGAAAATAGTTATTTAAAATTGTAATAATATTTTCACATTATTACAGTTTTTACTGTATATTTGATCAAATAAATGCAGACCACAGGATCATGAATGGTATTGTATATATATGTCTATTTTAAAACATAATTGGTGCTCTTACAGTGTGTGCAGTTGCAGACAGAGGCGTCCTTTGCACTGGGGTCCTCCTGTGACTTCGATTGTCCCACAGTGCTATCTGTCCTGAATAAGTCCCTCCGATCACTAGGTTAGGATGAAACTGAGCAAAGCCGACTGACATCACTGAGGACTACAGGGGGAAGCCATAAAATGCATTAGTAATTACTTGTGCCGATTTTAAACTTCCTTTGCTACGTTTTATGTTTTGGCATAGAGGACGTCAGCTTGCCCTCCATCAAGGTCGATTGGCACAAAGGGAGCATACAGGGAATAAACTGAACAATGAGAGTTCATTTATCAGTTACATCAGAGCAAACACAGAATGATGTGCATTAATGACGCAGACAGCATCTGAAAGTTGAGCTCTATTGTTTGTGTATATTAGAAATTCAATTTCGATTCAGGCCTTTTCATTAAAAGTTGATTGATCACACACATGCTCAATATATATAAATATTTTTTTTATTAAAGTATATTGAAATGCAGCCGAAAGGAACAACTTTCGGGTATTAAAGGTTTTTAATTGGGAGCAACAGGAATTCAAACCTGACAGTGGAATATGTACTCGGGGGTCATCTTCTTAAACTTCATATTCCAGACCAGCACAACTCCATCTGGCTCATGAGGCGCATCCTCATTACTGTTGTATGAGGCCACTAGCAATTCAGGATACTGCAAAAAGTATACTGGGAGCGTTATTTGTGACTAACACATTTGCATTAGGCATTGCTTATATTAATGCAATTTTAGAGTTAACTAATGTTCTTATTAATAAAGTACCTGTGGTGACCAATCCAGGGAAGTGACGACTCGATGTTTAGACCAATGCTCATCATAGAAATGTCGATTAAAAGACAAGTTTGATCCGGCTTGCATGTCCCTGATAACAAAACAAACCTTTGCATTTTGGTACAACCATCCAAGACAATTTACAGTAAGTTTCCCAGGAGTCACTTGAAGTTGAGTGCAACTCTTCAGTTTCTGGGTCACCTCATTAAACCTGATTTCAAACCATTAAACCACCATCATCCTACATTAGGTTAAATAGACCTTTCTGGTACCATCTAATGAATGACTTTTCTCTAATCATTTGGGAATCTGTGCATGTTTGACTGTTATATAAGCCTCCGCTCTGACCCTTCTTTGTCCTCCATATCTCGCCCACTGTAGTCAAAGAAAATGTCCGTATCCTCGGCCAGCACTCGCTCCACTACACGGATGCTTCGGTCGAAGAAAAACAGGAAATCCTCTGAATGAACAATCTGCTCTTTCTCCTCGTTGGTGAGTTCTCTAGGATGAACTAAGACACATATGCATACAGGTCTGTATGATGTCACACTTCTTATAAATGTATTACTTTCTTTTTTAAAACTGTGATTGTTCTTGCCTTCTTCATCTTTCTGAAGCTTCTCCTCCTCTAGCTGCTGTGGCACCGGCTCAGATTTGGGCACTGACAGCTCCTCACCCTCCTCCTCTGTGGAAAATTGACATTTTTGGAAACACTGTAAGTGATGAGATGAGTGTAATGGCATTTGTTTTGTGGGCAAAGCCATTATATTTAGTTTAATTTGTATGGATATCCATCCATATTATAACGTAGGAATAAAAACAGCTCTTTACCCTCAGGCTGATCAGATGCGACAGGCGTCTGTGTCTCTTTAGAGTATGACACCAGTTCTTTTGGTATGAAATCAATCTGAACAATTTTTGATGCTCCTAGCCTTTGCATCTTGCACCTAAGAAATCAAGCCAAAACGAGAACATTTTAAAGTTGTTTTTTTTTTTTTTTTTGCCTTGAACTACTTGAAAGTATCCTACTAAAGTCTTAAATCCCATTCACACCAAGGACGATAACTATAAAGATAACGATAATAATATAGTTCTAAAAATCATATTGAAAGGAACAATATCGTTGGAATCACTTTCAGAACGATTGTATCCAGCTGATGAACCATAAAAACATTGACAGCCAATCAGAATCCATCCTGCTGTAACGAGCTCGAGCATTTAAAGTGACAGACAAGCACGCGCTTCGAACAAACAGTATGATATCGCTGGTGTGGACGCTAATGCAGTTATCTTTATAGTTATCATTCTTGGTGTGAATGGGCCTTTAAGGTACGATAACAGTAATGCAATTTTGTGTGCAAAAAAGTTCCATTGTCAATAGTGTAGCTATGTATGAAGCACTCCTCATTTCCAAGCAGCATTCTGTTGGTCAGAGGAGCAAATTCACATGACCAACTTGAACACGAACAAAATCTGTGGTGAACTTTTTCACCCGTTTGAGCTCCCAATTGAGCAGTTTCCTATTTCTCCCACTAAATTTCGCTGCGCAATGGTAAATGTGACGGCATCTTTAGAATTTATTCTACATTTCTCTGTTGAGACTGCATGTTTCCTATATCAAATCTGAGGTGGCAGTCTCACCCATGAACAGAATCTGCAAGAAGCTGAAGAGCTAAGGGGTCGGTGTCCCATTGCAACGTCCTAGAGAGATCAGAAGAATACATCATATAATAGTTAGCAGGGATAAGACCAAGAGCATGCATGATTAGGTCCTGCAGCTTCACCAGCAGTGCAAAACCCTCTTCATGCACGATTACATGAAATAACATACTGTCTTTTGAACTGAAATCCCATATAGACTTTGGCAACATACTCTTGAACAGCTACAACAGAACCACATCCACTGATGGGTGATGCGTCAACAAATGCTAGGACCTAACAATGACAACATCAACACTTCTCCTTCCTTACCGATATCTGATGTCCCCATCAAAGATGTAGGGAAAAGGAAAAACATCAGACTTAGTCTTAAGGGAAATGCAAAACAAAACAATAATATAAAATAAGTAGTCAAAAAAAAAATCAATAGCCAAAATATTTTGACGTAAGAAATAATGCAAAACTTCCCTGAAATAAATCAAATCAAAAGTCCTTCAAATAATTGATAATTTTCTTATAAAATATTTAATTTCTCCTAATCAACCATAATATAGTAAATCTGTCTGATGTCTTGATAAGAATATATTAGCAAAATATAGATATATAAATTAAACTGCAATCAGTCTCACATCCTTTAAACCAGGAATTTTCAAAGCTTTTGATGCCAAGGACCCCCAAATATGATGATCACATTAAAATATGAAATCGGTTAAATATACAATATTTATATAAAAAAAGCTACTTGTACTGTATGAGAGAAAAAAACATGATATGCAAAATTAAATAACTAGCTTTTAGGTTACTATACTGAAAAAAATATATATATATCTGACTAATTGTATTGGTGTATTTGTTACCCATTATTAGAATATTTTTAAATGTATAAACCTAAAGAGAAATTGACAATGAATATATATTTTTTTAATATATATTTCCAGTAAGCTTTGATCATTCTAAAAATAAATACATTCACATATAAGGAAATATATAAAAGTATTTCAAAATGGTTTAAAGGTTGAGATACAGTCTGGTGCGCAAACAATCACTCGTGCAGATTTCATACCTTCCCACAGTCCCTCCATCTATGGACTCTTGACTTCCAATTTCACTGGCCGGGCTCACTGATTGCGAAGAGGGAGACATAGGGGTTGGGACTAAATAATGAAAATAACAGGTATCCCATGTTAAAAGCTGCAGTGGCTGCACTGATGGCCAGCAGTGGCAGACACAGGCAAATCAAAATGAACAGAATGGATTGAAATGGTCAAATCAAAGAGAAAAAAAAATCCAAAAGGAAAAACAACAGGAGAGATTGTCAAGCGAATTTCATTTCTCTCTAAAACGTTAGAATTTTGATATTATTGAATCACCTCATCTTCAGATTTATAATGATTACAATTTTACATGGAATATCACCTTATAAATCTATTTATTGATTGTGCCACAGTGAAGTCTAGTTCAAATAGCCATCGTGTAAAAGACAGGAGTTTAATAAACTGATTAAGTACTGATGAAACTTCTTTATATTCATCTAATAAAAAAGTAATTGTTTTGGAGATGAATTCATGACCTAACTCATTGATAAATACCACAAAATCTGATTTACATCTAGCAAAAATTCTAGTGAGGACACATTCCATTCCTGCAAAGAAGATAAAAAAAATAATAATAATTTTTAGACCTCAAATACAGGCCAAAGCAACATGCCCTTTATCAATAAAACAGCACAAATCAGTCCAAAATGAGCCATACCCTTGAGAGAAAGAAGCGTGCTTTATTGTATTGAGTGACACTTGTAGTGTACTTCAAATAAAAGTATAACAAAAAAAAACTGTACTTGCAGATAACATATTAATGAAATAAAGGTCACTTAACCTGTTAACCTGCAACCCCATTTTTGAAAAATCCCCAGATATGGCATTCCCAAACTGAAACAGATACAGTTCATGAACCCTTTGTACTAAAAGCACAAGTAAGATCTCATTTGAAAGCTGACACCTGGAAGTTTATTGTAAATGTAGAATTAATTATTGTCATAATGAAAAAAAATAGTTATAAATAGCTTCAAAGTTTTGTAAAGTTATTATACATTTATTTTTATGAAACCTATTCATGAAAATAAAATTGAAGTTGGCATTGTAGCAATCTAGAAATGCACTGCAGCTAAAGCCACATGTCTGGCCATGTTATATTTAAAATCTGAAGATGATAAGTCTAAAACTCTGTATTTAGTTCAATGTTTTTCAAGATCATGTCATATGACTTTATTTTGATTAGACTGGGGTTTATTGTCATCTTATAAGCATCTATTCAGTCTATTGCCTCTATTGTTTTGTGATGCAAAAACAAGCCCCATTCAGTCTCAGTCTCCCCTGCACATATTCACACCTCTCCAGCCTGTTTATTGCTCTAAATATGCTTTTCTTTTGTCTGCATTATAATCACTAACGACTAGCAATTCACAATGTTTCAATCCCTCATTTCTTTTATAAAAGTTCTCACTTCACAGTGAAACTGTATCAAATGCCCTTTTTGAAAAACGAAACATTTCAGTAAGCATTCTTATTTAGAAAAAAAAAATCATAAAAATTACACCGAAGTTAGGTAGCAGGTGCTCAGTACTAGCTAGCATGTTAGCTTAGCACACCATCAATACACGACAATTTATGAGAATAAAACTATGTTTGTGCTCTAAACTTACTTTATAGCGCAAGTCGAGTGTTTTAAATAACTTTCTGTAATCTGATTTGGCTTCAGATAAAAAAATCAGATAGAAAATATATTATTTTATTGTATTCTGCACAATTTGAAAGTCTATCTCGATTAGCATTACATTATACATATAATCTATTATTATGAAAATACCTGACATGACTCGAAGAACACAGGTAAATCAAATATCATTGCAATCATGTTTATTGTCTTCAAAACATCTTTATCTGCACTTTACAGCGATCTCGGATAGCTTTGTTTATGTATCAGGACTTCCTGAATGTCACATGATTATGGCTCTTCTTCATGTGATCCATATATGGACTTTACTGTGCAACAGCGCCCCAGACTTCAGTATGAATGGATAACTCAGTACATCAGAGAATACAGCGCTCAAAATGATTACATCGACGCATTTGGGTATAAATTCAATAAATATTATTCCTGTCTATAGAAATCTGATGTAAACCTATGATAATCTATCAATATTTCTCCAAATCTGCACATGTTTGAGCTAAAAGCCCTGAGGGACGTTGTTTTGTGAATCGCTGTCATGACGATCGCACGGGAGTTTTTTTCTGAATGAGACCGGCTGACGCTCATAATTCATATTAAAGGTAACGACTCATTTTTTAATTTCATAACTCCTGACACAAATTAAGACATAACTGTCACTATAAGTTTCTCAGAATACAATAGTGGTCAAATACTGAAACTTGAGTCTTATATCGTTTTAATGATGTATAGTTTGTCAAGTTAATAACATTAAATATTTAACTATTTAAAAAAAAAACGCTTCAGAGCGCCCACGCACTGGTGACGGTTAACAGGTTAAGTGTATTGTACTTAAAGAAAGTACACTTTCATGATTGTTTTAACACACTTAAGTACACTTAAAGTGCACTTATGCTTTAAAGTACACTTATTTTGATGTGTTGATAAGTACTTTACTATAAATGTAACTGTAGTGTGTTATTCGATATTTCGTTTAAAGTTAATACATTTAATATGTACTAAATTGCAACCTTACAAACAGGTTACATTACAAATCATTACAAACAGGGCTGGAAATGGGGAGACTCAAGGGGAGAATAGAGTTCCAGTTCAAAATGTAGTTCAAAAAGATTTCCATCTTTTATCCACACAATAGCCTCCAAACGCTATGCAAATTTCATACATAAATATAGTGGGATTTTATACATCTATGGTTTAAAAATATAAAATATGTTCCCGAATATAGTCCCCCAGTGAATCTTGACCAATTCCAACACTGATTACAAATGTGTAATTACAAATATATTAATATATATAAATTGCAATGAAGTAGATTTTAGATTACTAAAAAATGCTTGGCAGTACATTTTAAACGTGTTACAAAGACAATAGAAGTAATCATGAAATTACATATAAAAGTAAAAGTCATATACTTAAGTGGGTAAAAAAAAAAAAAACTCTAACGTTCTGCTAATTGCATTTAATATAAATTATAACTATAATATATTTTTATTTGATTGCAATTAACATGCAATTCAGAGTCCAAAAACATACTCTTTTAAAAAGTATAGTGTGCTAGTATAGTGTACTTCTTTTTCACAAGGGTAGGGCGATATAGCTCTAAAGGCTGCTGAGTGAAAAAAAAAAACTATTTTGCATTATAAAGACTCCTGATGATTCCTTTTATCATTTCATTCAAGCAAGTGCCATGCACATTGACAAAGATGTATCTCACACACATTATGTACATGCACAGACAGCTCTATGTTCTGTATCATATACCTAGAGGTGGTTCTGGTGAAATTCCAATGCTCTGTAGGAGAGCCTCTGTCTCTCTTCTCTTCCTGTCTAGGTCTGAGTCTTCTGACACGTTTTCAGTCCTCTGAAGCATCTCAGACTGCATCACAGAACAAATATTTGCAGGTGATAAAATGATAAATGGTATATACAACAAAAAAAGCACTTACATCTTTCTTCTTTCTCTCTTCCTCCTTTCTTTTCTTCTCCTCTCGAATCTGGGCCAAGCGCTGCTTTTTGCGCTCAAGCTCAGCTTTTAGGTCACTTCTTTCAGCCATCGTTGTGTTGTTCAATCTATGTATAGTATGAACAGTTTTAGTTTAAATTGTAGTATTCATGCATTCATGTTGCCATGCTTCAAAATACATCAACAATGTCACAAACTTTCCACGAAGAGGGACACATTAGAGGCTATCCAGGGAATGTGCTTTGGTTTTAAAATTTTGTGAAGGTCTGTTCAGTCTACATTATGCATTTGGCTGAATTTCAGTAGATGAAGTTATACATCCAGCTTCATTTGGTTGTTTACAGAGAAGACCAGCCTGTGTAAAAGCCCATTAGTCTAATGGACACAGACACAGTCCAAGCTTAAATACTGTGACTGCAACTGAATTAATACAGAATACATCAAACAATGAAACTGCAATAAATGATCAAATAAGCAAATAAATGCAAACTGAAATATAAAATATAATGTATAAAATCTCTTGGGTGAATCTCCTGTAGGTAGTAATAATAAATAGCGTTGTGGATGAAAAAACAACATTATAATACATTGCATACTAACCTAATATTCTGCAAAGAAAAATGACGTGACTGGTTCATAAATGCACTTGACTGACAAGAATGATAACAGAAGACACGTAACAGCGAATTAAAGTAAAAACACAATCCACAATGCATTAATGCACTCCGCAACAAAGCCTCTTGTAGGCTATATTATATTTCAATGTAATAATTCAACTATACCGCCTTTATGTCGATCCAACCAGGGCAAAGTCTGCTGCGCTCTCTCGCGTAAATGCAGAAATAACAGGCTAAATCTACAAATGAGCATCAACCGCTAAATGAAAACACAAAGCATCACCAGTTTACCTCAGTCTCATCAGCACCCAAAGCCGGAAGTGCTCAATTCTGATACGTCATAAACGCCTCCCAGCAACAGCGGGCAGCGCTTGAAGATCATGGTTGTTTTAAAACTTAGTGAGCTGCCTACCTAGACAACGTTCAAATGCGTCTATGGTGCCAAAAAATAGTCTAGCTGGGCGGCTTTTTCAGTAAAGTAGCGTTGATTTTTTTTTCTCAGCAAGGATGCATTAAATTGACGTTTACAATGTTGCAAAAGATTTTAGTCCAAATAAATTATGTTTTATTGAACTTTATACTAATAAAAGAAGCCTGAAAAAAGTATTAATATCATAGTTTCCACAACTGTACTGTATTTTTGTCGAATAAATGCAAGCTGGTTAAGCATAAGGGACTTACCCACCCCAAATAGTGTTTTACCAACTCAATGCTCAGTAAAACATAAATTAAATATTAAAACATAACATTCATTAAATTATCTGGAACAGACAGAGTCCTGTCTACACAAAGATGTATCCATGTTTACACAGAAAATGATATAAAAGTAAATAAATACTCTTAGAAATGGTTAAATTACATTACATTAAGGTTTTATTAAAATTCTTAAGACATTTCTCATTTTTAAATACAAAAACATGAAAAAAGATAATACAAATGACATTTACCTTAAAAAATATATGGGGGGGAACTAATACAAATATTACATTTACAAAATATTAAAAGCTAGGGTTAGTGTCGATAAGCTGTGCAGGGTTCTCAAGTCATGTAAGAACATTTTCTTTCAGCTCTTCTTGAATGTGCCCCTGGTTCCACACACACTGGTCCTGTGTTGGTGGTGACTGTGATCAGTGAGAGTGTATGGAGCTGGTTGAGGGTGAGATAAAGTCAGTCGCTCTGGCCCTGGCAGCAAATTTCGTCCTCAGTTCTCTGATTTCCTGCATCCGCTCCCTTTCCTTAGAGTCAAGCTCCCCTCGGCCACGATCTAAAGAAACTAAGGTGCAGCGACATGAAAGAGAAAGCTTTTATCGCTTGCCACTTTATTTCATCATGTTTGGTTATGACAGTGCATCTCACAGTTTATACAGGGCTGCCAACATTTGAGTTTAGCTTGGAGTGAGAATTATGGAAGAGAAGGGGGGGATGTACAAAAAAGACCTTCCATCACAAGTGTATTATGATTCTCAAAACATTTGGTAACTAAACAGAATTTCATTAAGTTTAGTGACAACATGTTACAATGTGTACATGATACAATGACTTGTAGGCTACTTTTTTTATTAGTCCTTGACACAAATTTCACGATTTCAATTAATAAGCTAGCGAATTTGATTTCGATCTTGATTCGACATCGATTCATTTGGATAATTTATCAGGTACAGTATAGCTGTTTCATTTCCTTTTTCTCAAGGAAAAAAAATCTCTCTCAACTAATGCTGTAAACATACAGGGAGCCCTGTCAGCTGGTATTATTATTAAAGGTTAAAACTAACAATTCAAATTAATCGAATGCAGTTTTTATAATAATAACGTCATTATATATTTTTAATGAGTAAAAATATAATAAATATTTAATATAGTGCATAAATATAGCAAAGTATGCTCTATAGTTAATCTTTCTAAATAACTAACATGCTATGGTTATTAAATGGCTTTCCTGGGGTAAATGTAACATTACGTGACAATGTTCACAAGCTGTATTATTGATTTCTTTCCACGGTTGAAAGACTGATCAAACGATTACATGAGACATGATACATTTTGGTAAGTTGTACTGTATCTTTCAACATGCCTTCTAATGTTCGGGTTTATTTACTATTAACTAGTAGTAAAAAGGAATAGATTATCATTTCGCATGCCGCTTGAACTGATCCACTACAGCAATCTGTCACATCACATTACAGAGAGTCAAAACGGTATTTATTGTTTGAATTTGAATGCAGAGACGTTTCTTCTTTGCTTTTCACGGCATGAGAAAATGGATGTGTGGCATGAGAACAGTGTCAATTGCGTGAGAGTTGGCAGCCCTGGTTTAAACTAATTATACTCACAGCAATCATCAGATTGTGCATTCAAGGAAGTGTTAGTGGTCTCATTTTGGGGCTTGTGCAGCAGGCCTCTGGATGAGCAGGGAGATCGGAGTCTCTTTTCCTTCTGTCGATCTACAATCACACAAAAAAAATCTCCATAACACATAGAGGGATGAAAACCAACCACTAGACAACTCAATTACCTCATGTTAACGTATGTAAAGTTGAACAGACTATCATTTAATGTGCCCCATCATGCTTTTTCGGATATTAGCATTTTCTTTCTATTCCGGATATTACCTATTCGCTGTTTGTAAATGTAAAAGGTCTGCAAAGTTTCAAAGATCAAAGTGCAAGATAAATGGAGTTATTTTCTCCCAAAAGAAAGAACCGATTCTTAAAAATCTTACTGTCTGAACTAACCTACTTGGTTTGTAACAAATTTGCATAATGCCAGCCAATGAATACAATAGGCTGGCATTATGCAAATTTGTTACAAACCTACGTAGGTTAGTTCAGACAGTAAGACTTTATTGTCTGTCTATTTTGACCTGCCCTCAAACACTGTCGTTGTAGCTGATGCCTGGAAGTGTTTGGTTCGTGACATGTTGAGAAGATGCGATTTTCTGCACTGTGAAAGCAAATTTATGCACTCCAAAAGGATGACATTGATTGCATCGCTACTGTTCTTATCAGTGTGTATACTAGAGCGGAGGAAGTCTCCGGAGGTGAAATTCAGATACGGTAATTGGCGTTTCATTTCCGACACATGCAGTAAAAGGTGGACCAATCACAAGAGACTGGGCCATCTGATCAATCAGAGCAGAGTAGGCTCTCGGAAAGGAGGGGTTTAGAGACCGAATCCTTCATCAAACCGTTTCAGACACTGTGAGAAAAAAGGTGATGCTACATTATGAGAAAATTAAAGTGTTTTTTGACCTTGGATGCATGTTAAACTATTGTACCTCTAAAACAAAATTAGGAACCTTTAAAATAGCATAATAGGGGCACTTTAAACTGATTGCGTCTTCAAAAGGAAGTAATATTAAAACTGTAACCATATCATGAATCCTTTATTACATTTTGTGAGAAGTCTTTGTCTTAACTCACTTATTAAATCCTCTAGACTCTTTTGCAGTTTTCCATGATGTTGCTCAGTCTCTTCTGTTTCCTGATAGATAAGTGACCTCCGTTGGGCGTTAACAGTGGCAGCCGTCCGTCTTTCCTCCTCCAGTTCAGCTTGTTTGGCTACTACATCATCCCACTAAAGACCATACCAAAATAATGTCATTGGGCTTTTGTATGTTGTAATGAAAGTGAATTACATTACTTATGAATCTTGTCTACTTGTTACGTTAAACAGAACACTAAAGGTGTGGTTTAACAATGTTCGATGAATTTTCACAAGGAAAATCGATCGTGAATTTCATGTGAGGGTTGATCACGCGAATGACCAACAGAAAGCAGTTTAGCTTGAAAGTGACCCGTGCTTCATAAATCACTACACTATTGAAAAATACCTTTTTGCCCACAAAAAAATTCCACAAATCTGACTGCACCTTAACATGTAAATTCTCACCTGCTTTCCCTCCACTTCCAGCATTAGCTGGACTATTTTATCCTCTTTAGCACATGTTTGCTTGCTGAGGTTCACAAGTCGCTCTCTTTGCTTCTCTTGCCTCCCCTCCGCTTTTTCCAATCGCTTATTCACCTCAGCCTGCCAATCAGCATCCACTTCCATCTGTCCCACCTCTGCCAGAGACTCTTCCAGCATCTGAAAGAGTGTGAATTCTCATAATTAGTTTCATCAAAACTTTATTCAACAATCAACTGCAAAACACAAGACTGTTAAGGAGAAAGAAAGGAAATGCAGAAAGGAAACAGGATCAGGACGGAGTTAGATGTCTGACAAAGATAATCAAATGCACTTCATGAAAACTGTAGCGAGACATACCTTTTTGTTTTTCTGGCTGATATCTCCATCTGTCTGAATGAGGTTTTGAAATGTACAATGGTCTATTTCAGCCCTGTGTCTCCTCGTATCCACTTCTGCTCTCACCTCTTGACTCACTCGCTCTTGCTCTTTGGCCAGTTGCTAGTAGGCCAAAAATATGATGATCAGCTTTAGATATGCACATCTCAAGAGTGTCCGAACCAGCTCATAGAGGGCCACCTTCCTGTTAGTTAAATTCCAACCCTAATTAAACGCACCTAAAACAGCTAATCAATCAAGGTCTTCAGGATTACTGGACACTTCCATGTAGGTGTGTTGGGGCAGGTTGGAGCTAAACTCCGCATGAAGATGGCCATCCAGAAGGAAGATTGGACACTCATAGTGCATCAATTTTGCAGAAAAGAACGTTTTTTTTTTAGTGGCCAACCTGTTCAAACTGTTGTCTCTGGGCATCCAGTTCCATCTGTCTCACTTCTATATCTTGAACGGCGGCTGTAGTCTCCTGATCTCGCAGTGCCATCTAAGTACAACAATAAACATGTAAAGAACCTGCCAAGCTTTACACAACCCTGGCCTGTCTTTCTAAATAATACTTAATACTTTTCAAAATACATTAATCTAACAAAGACTTTGTGAAAAGTGACAGTAAAGGTGATGATACACGAGGCAACTTTTTTTGAGCAATGTTGCTTGGGCTCTTTTCTATTAAAGGGATACTCCACTTTTTTGGGAAATAGGCTCATTTTACAACTCCCCCAGAGTTAAACTGTTGAGTTTTACCGTTTTTGAATCCATTCAGCCGATCTCCGGTTCTGGCGGTACCACTTTTGGCATAGCTTAGCATACATCATTGGAGTGGACAAGACCATTAGCATTTCTAAAAAAAAAAATGACCAGAGTTTCGATATTTTTCCTATTTAAAACTTGACTCTTCTGTAGTTACATCGTGCACTAAGACCGACGGAAAATGTAAAGTTGCGATTTTCTAAGCTGATATGGCTAGGAACTATACTCTCATTCCT